CGCGGCTGCCCGCGGCGCCAGTCACTCACTGCTCGTGTCCTTCTCCCGCCCCCTGTCACAGTCTGATCTGCTAGTTTAAAAAAAAAAAAAATCGAGGTTATTACCCAAACTCGGCAACAGACTCGAGTCTCAGCAGGCTCCCCTGCGCTCTTCAGACGTCCTAGGGTGCATCTTTTGCCCTTGTTCTGACTTTATGCGCTGAATTAAATGTAATTTTGCCTTGGAGCAACAAAAACAACAAAAAAAGGCTGAAGAACTGGCTTTTGTTCGATTAGCATGTGAATGAAGCAACAAATAGGAAAGTTCAGAAGGGATGTGGGTGGAGAGACTTCTCTGCTTCTTTGCTGAAGAAAGTACCTCTTTGGTTTTTGTGAATTATTTTAAATAATCATGTATTGATTTTAGCGTTCATTTAGCGAACTCTGCTTAGTGTTGAATCTGACTAGCGTTAGCATCTGTCTGTGTTCCTGCGAAGGACTGTCTGCGTTTTCCTCCGCCACATTGCAGTGATAGCTGGTGCAAATGCCTTTGCTAGAGGAGATCAAAATGCAGTGGCTGTCAGTCTAAGAAACAGAATATGAAATGTGTATCAGAAATCTTAGATTTTATGTTGCTTCCTACTTTCTAACAGGAGCAACAGATACCAAGAACACGTGGATTTGAAATTGTACAGTTGTGGATGCTTAAGTTGGACCCAGGCAATTTGTCTAAAATTGTTCATTTGCTAACTGCTCCTTATGTGATGCTGCACGCCGTGAATAGAAATAGGAGAGTATTTGCTTGTGGAACCTCTCGTGCAGGAGGCAGTGCTAAGCCAAAAATCACTTATTGTACCTTTCCTCTCAGAATTGCAAGGCTGTTTGCAACTCATCCTAGGGAAGGAGTCTGTGACTCTAGAGCCATTTCTGAAGAGAAGTATGTTTTGTGGCCTGTGTGTGGATTTCTGCTATATTAGGAGCTATTTGATTCTGAACTGTAAAATGTAATTTGGCTAGATTATAGTATCAGATAAAATACAACTTGAGTTAACCAACTTCTTGAACTTGAGAGCTATGTGTAGAGCCAGAGAGGTGCTGAGGGAATAGCTGCAATCTGTAGCATAACAGTGCAATCAACCCTCTGTTATTCAGGGACATAAGAGGCTGAGTTAGCCCAAGCAATGAAACTGATAATACTAGTACTGTGAAAAACATAGGGAAAGATGTGGAGGAGATGCTTTGCTGCTCAGAGTCAGTTCTGGTCCACTGAGTCGTCGTCTTCTTCATGTAATATCAGCCAACTGAGAGTCCCTCTATCCAAACTGGCATTATTCCTGTTTCCAGAAGAGCCTGTTGGTGCAGCAGGTGGCCACGCAGGCTATACTGTGTTGGTGTGGCACGTGGCCGCGCAGCTTGCATGTCCGCCACATACCCAAGCCAACTGCAAGAACTCTGAGAGTGATTATGGGGTGAGAGTGTTATCTGAAGGGGGAAGGGGAGCTGGGGGTGTGGACTTAGGCTGGAGCTGAGAGTGCTTAAGGTTAAGTCAGGTTGCAGCATGGCTACACTGATGCCAGAGTCTGGCAGCGTTACACTCAATTTACTGTAGTACTAAAGATGGCACTAGTTAGGTGGAGCTAATGTTTCTGACTTGTGTTATCACTGAATAGAGCTGGTCTGAATGTCCCTTTGCTTGCTCCTAGAAGCCGAGAGGTTGGGGAGTGTGGAGCAGAAACAGCCAGCTCAGTGGAATTGGCTGAAGCCTTGCTAAACTCATCAATCCTGTCTCAGCGTCAACCCGGCCAGACTGGCTCTTGCCCTCCTTCTTAACCTCTGGCTTTGGGAGGTGGGTGTTGGTTGCAGTGCTGGACCACATCTGACTGCATAACACTGGCTAATAAACCCTCCTAGAGCGTGGGGGGCGTGAAGCAGGCTTATCTGCGTGATTCTCCAGGAGGCAGCCTGAGTCTGGCAGGGATGGTGATGACTCAGTTAATAAACTCATTTGTACCCAGCCCAGCTCTGTGTTTGTGTCTGTGTGCTTAACTCCAATTCTTCAGGTTGGATGACTGTAGTTTGGAAATGCTTGTATTGGCTTTTCATTGCATTAGTTAAAGTCTCACAGGCCCCATCTCTGTCCTGTTCTACTCCCAAGTGGTGGTATTGCTTCCTGATCTGAGCTGTCCTTGAAAGAGTTATGGCTGCATGTGGCAA